ACAAAGCTAGTGCTGTTACTCTTATTTTATTTACTTTATTTTATTTTATTTTGTTTCTTTTTTATTCTTCTTTACTATCTGTTTTCGTACACTACACTAGTTTTTACCTTTTATTTATTTATTTATTTATCTATTTATTTATTTATTTATTCTTTTTTTCTATTTATAGATTCTTTTGTTGTTGTTCGGCTCGAGTCATTGTTTTATAGGTCGGTGACCTTTGATGACTCTCACTTTTCGTGAATAAATTCATTCATTCATTCATTCAGAGTGCTGGATAATTTCCATAAGTTCTCCATGTCGATTTCTGATATCAGAATTCTCAAGATAGCCCAACATTCATTAGGGCACTAGCAAATAAGGAGATATCTGTTTTCGTACGTGCATATCTCTATCTTCTCTTTCTTTTCTATTGACGTGCTGAGACGAAAAAATGTGCCGCACATGGGATATCTTATGTAGAAAGACATATCTCCTTATTTGCTAGATTCCTATTAATTTGAAGCTGCATGGCTAGTCAATGACTAAGGCCCTGTTTACACTACAAAAGTTAAAGGAGCTTTAAGTAATTCTATTGGCTAAAAGTTAGTTTAAGCCAATAGAATTGCTTAAAGCTCCGTTAACTTTTGTAGTGTAGACGAAGCCTAATGTGAAGTCATCTTTTTAACAATATTATAAATTACATTAGAAAACACTAACTCGAACTGACCCGTAGTTTAGCTAATGCATTCATGTCTTTTGGCCCCCTACCATTTATATTTTCGATAGATAGATGGCGCACTCTTCGGATAAAGTGCTACAAATCAGCCCAATGCTGCAAGTTTCAAGAGTATTTTTAGAATATAAGTTTACAACAAACTTTGTGTTTAACCAGATTGAAATCGTCGAAACTTGCGTTAAGGAAGTGACTGGTGCTTCTGGGTCTACTGTCTATGACCTAGATCTATGGAACCAAAAATATTAAAAATTGTAAAATCAATATATCTGTCGCGGTAATACAGAAAGAAATTAGCAATACGTTCAAGATATAGACCATCAAAAGTCAATAATGGCGCAGCAAAGACTAGCAAAACGGTCAATATTAAGTACATGTATTTCAAACAGTTTTAATTTTACTATTGTTAAAACTGTTATACGTTAAAACGCTGCCAGTTAAAACGTAATAATATAATTCGTATTTCTAAGAACTCATGATCTATTATATATCTCATAGATAGTCATAGATTAGTAGTTTTTTCATTGTTATTTATTGTCCTTTGAAACTTTTAAATATTCCAATTAAACCAAAAATTCTCTTAGAAGTTTATGCCTATATAAGCGAAACAATAAGAATGACTGAAATCTCAATTCACATATAGCTCAGAAATGATAGCATGTGCCATGTTGCATTCAGAGAAAGAGAAGATCTACTCCATTTAACTCACAAAAAAGAGTTAAATGGAGTAGGCTTTAGGTTTCATAGTTTAATAACTAGTAAAATCTGCATCGTTAATGTTACAAGTCTGTTGTCCGAATACGAGTGGCTTTGTAATAGGATTCACCCAGCTAGCAACAGTTGCTTATTCTTGCTTCTATCTCCTGTAGAGGTATGGTTACAGTTACGAACCAATATACTGTGTTCTTTCATCAATAGCAAATGAAAGCAGAAATCAGTAATGAAAATATCTTTTCTAGTATTGTATTCTGATCTATCACATAATTATTCAGATTATTTGCGTCAAAAAGATAAAAAAGATAATTATCAAACGGTACAACAGGATAAAAACATCAAGGAACAATATCAGTGCATAAAATGTAGCAATGATCGACAATTAAGATCCAAAATAGAACCCTGCAGATTACAACTTTTTCACAACCTATAACCCGCGAAGTCGTAACCTTCAGGCCAGGACAGATTAAAACAGGTTACGCGTGACCTTCAGGGCTCTAATCCAAAAGATAGTATTTTATATAGGATCACAATAAACAATATCTATTAGTATACCACAGCAAAACCAACATTCAGCACCACGAGGCAAAAGTCCCCCCTCCCCCCCCCCCCATACTCACCAAAACATCAACATATTGTATCAATGAAAATACGCATAAAATCAATATCTAAACATCTACTGGTTTTGTAACAGAAGCGATCTATAACATCGATGAACACAGTAATGTTGATATACATCACAGAGAAACTTAACATAGATAGAGGCAGTATGCTTGTTAATAAATAAAATTCTTTAAATAGTCTTTTTTTATTGCTAATCTAGTAATTTAGCCTATCAGACAAAAATACTCTTGGTATTAAATACTGCAACAAATGTTGTACGAATAAATAAATATTTTATCAAGAAAAACTATTGTCATATTTAATCCTAAACAATCAGAAAAAAGAATGTTCAAAAATTTTTAATTCAGATATAAATGGCATTGTTCAATATTACTATTCAATAATTGATTGTGTACAAAAATAATCTTAAATTGATCTTCTAAATAGAGGCAGTGAACAACATGCTCAATATTTGCACATGGAATTCTCGTTCATATTCAATTACAATGAATAAACGATTATATTCGTTGAAAAAACACGATAGATACATAATTTTTTTTGTTATAAAAATGTTCGAAATGGTAACTGTACATTACGATTATTTATTAATAGTCTCGTCAACTTTGGAACTGATGTACAAATATATTCAGGAGAAAAACTTGACAATGCATTATTATTCAGACCGATACTGATCAAATGAACTTCTAATTCTTTAATATTAGGTATATGTTTGAGTAACAAATCGAATTCATTAGCTAAACAACAATTAATTGATAAATATTTAATTAAATTTGGTTGAATTTGATCATCTTCAAAATAAACAAGACCATTTAAATTTAATATGCATGTTTGCAATGTTTGACTCGAAAAGATAAACGAACTGAGGACAGTACGATTTAGTTGATTAAATTTACTTAGATTAACTGACAAATAAGTGATATGAGAATATCGAATCACTTCACATTCGTTTAATCGTGGTTCAGCAAGTGTTAAACAATCTAAATTGTTGAAATTCTCAATGCTGAACCGAGATAAAAACAAATCAATTTGATTCGGCATATTTCGGTTCGATAATCGTAAACCTAGAACGCGCTCATGATACTTTGATATAATTGTATGTTTATCAAACTCAGCTATCGATGTAATAGTCATCAGATCAATGTATAAAGGGATAACGTTAAGTAATGAATCAAATTTTGAATTTAGATTAGTAAATGCATATAAAATATCAATCGAGGATAAATAATCAAATATTTCCAAGTAGAGTTCGTTTGAAAAATTTTCAAAAACACACATTCTAATCTAAAAATAAAAATAATTAATAAAAACAATTATTTTAACTAAACCATCATACTAGATAGGGTGAGACGCTGACAAATCTCAAACACACAAAAACACCCATATTAACATAACTATATGAGTACACGCGTGTGTTAAAGTCAATCAAAAATTAGCCATGAAAGCAACCATTAAAACGATTAATGTCGCCACTTTCAACGTCCGCGGTCTGTCTTCCAAGACCAAACAAGCACGACTGATCCAAGATCTGGAAGAACAGCTTACTGACTCAGCAACTCAACTCGAATTATCGCAACAACTCAAGTCAGTTGAAGATCGAAAGAAGCTTGAAACGATTGCGAAGCTAAGAAAGAAATGAAAGCAAATAATGGCTAATATGCATGCTCTCAAAAAGTCTCAACAGCTCGAAGAGGGCGAAACACAATAATAAAAAAAAACCATCATCCTATACAAAAAATGTTGATTCTATTCAAACAATAATTGGTTTATTTCTATGTAAGGTTTACGTATATATTTAAATAGAACGAATAAGGAATAAAGAAATTAATAAATCAAAAGACCGTCGTTATATAATTATTTTAAACTTTTTTTTCAGTACTGTGTAATAATAGTAATCGTATATAATGTTTTTATTCAGAGTTTTATTAAAACCATTTCGTTTGAATCCTGATGCAGACACATTCAATGATAAAATCTGTGCTAACCATATTTCTATCCGAAATACTTGTCCAATATCTTCTAGATCATTAGTTACATCGATAATAGCAGCTAAATAAGTTAAGTTTAATAAATGTGTGAATTTTGGTACCAGAAATTCTATTTGTGAAATATTTGTACCGAGAAATGTTAACGATCGAAGATAAATAAATTCTTCAATATTAAAATATGTGAAAAATAATTCAGGAGAATAATTACCTTTGGCAAATGTTAGTTGAACTAAACGACTAGAAATGAGTGGTAATATGGATTTATAAACAGTTTTAGTTTGTAAAACATTGAGCGAAAATCGACGAAAAGGATCAGCAAGTAAATAATCGAAGCGTGAGTTTAAGTTTGAAAATAATGGATATAAATTTATATCAACATTCAAGTAATCAAATATCAAACGGATTACATCATTTGGTAGGTTTTCAAATTGCGTGGTGGTCATGATCTGAAAGCAAAACCGACAGGGAATGAATATCAATATTACTCATCAGATGACCATGCCAAAACTAACAATAAATGAACAATATGTTCTTCTTAAATTAGCATCCATTTAACTTGTTCAATAAACATTACATTGAAAATTATCATCATAAAAAAAAAGCAAGTTTTCAACTGAAATCCATCATTTTACAAGGTCATATAAAATCGGCTATTTCCACTATTGAGGATTTATTCGGCTTTCTACCAAATCAATCTGACGAAAGAAAAGAACAGAACGTCGCTCTATCAAAACATAGAGACGCGCTCTATATTCACTTCCTTATAATACTCTTCTCTGTTACCGACCTACTTACTCACTGCAATAACAATCCTGTCAAATCCTATAGAATTTCTGTAGAAACACATAGTAAACGTTTATTTCATCGGTAAAAATCATATAATCACAGGATTCTTATATAATCTTACATGATTTTACGAAAGGAAACGAGAGGATTTCATAGAAGCGTTCAGCGCACTCTGGTCAATACACCACCCTTCCACACACAAGCTATCTTTTCCTTTCCAAGTGGAAGTTTCGTCGACTTGGTATTCTCGTGTTCTAAAATCTGAGGTGGAATGAGCATGCTAAAGTATCTTCCTTGCTTGTCGACGCAGATTAATTAGTAGTATTAATTTGTATCTTTGGAATGGAATCACTAGAAGTGGACATGATCCCGTATTCTTGCGAAACTAATTAGTGTTGTGCGTTGTAAGATAGTTAGTTCTATTTCTCTACTCCTACCTCTATAGATAAAACTTGCAGCTCGCTGTATATACTTCAGATTATACAATTCTTAAAAATTTATGATCGTCATCGCAGTTTCACCACTGTAATTTTCTTTTGTCTGTTTATCATTACTCCTTTTATTGTGTCACTTGAGTTATCGTTATTATAAGTAGGGCATCTTTGCTAGCTCTCACTTTTCATGAATAATAAATTACTGCTACTCTTGGTCCCTTAGTTACGTCTATGAGGTTTGCCGATCCGTCTAGGAAATGCATACTTTCGAGTAAATTCGCTTTCCTAAGTACTAAATCAACATAAAATTTATAAATCCTGTTGCTTTTAGCTTATGTATAGTATAATTCAGTCGAAATGAGATAGTATGAGTTATTACCTTGCATGAGCGGTTGTCCGCTTTTATGCACAAATAAGGGCTCCACATATGTAGAAGAAAATATGGACTGCTATTTTCTGGTTGGTTCATGCAGAATGGAGAAACGAAGAAATTAACAAGGGGCGCTAGTTTATAGTATTCGTTTTCCGCACATGTGTGACGTAGTGTTTCTCTTGTTTTAGAACTTAACTGTTTGTCATCTGCACTCAACATATCTGGTTTTTGTAATTATTTCTGAGTTACTGGTTTTATGAAAAACTAACGTCTGTGTACAAAGTTGAGTCTTTTGAGCGCTTTCGTAATATGCGTATTCAACAGTAATTAGTTATCAATCTTAAAAGAAAAAATGTGTAATTCACCATCTGGAACAGTAACGGTGCAAATCTCATATTTTAAAACCATTTTAATGTCAAAAGTCATTGTCACTACAAAATTATCTA